CATAAGGCTGGCAATTGTCAAAGAGCAGACATGTCAGTGCTATCATTAACAGGCAGATCGGCCAAGCGTTTAATGGTAGAATCTGGAGACATCCACTCTCCACTATCGGAATGACATCATAACTAAAACAGCCTCCAGCGTGGAGGGACACGCAACAACACCACCCTTGCCCGGCTCACCACTTCTGATCCCCTGTATGAAATGCATCGCACAAGCCTCCTCCCTCGCAGAGGCACAGCTCGCTCTCAAGCACCCCGGTTCTAAAATATCACTCGGGTGGATTTCTCAAAAGCACTTTTGCGAAAAGAGCACTTGTAAACAGCCCCAATTTGGAGAAATGGTCAGAATTTAAAAGCAGTCACTTTATTTGGAATAGCTGTCAGCGATTCACAAATGTGCATCAAGATTTTGGACATTTCCCATTATCCCCCTGATCTCTACTCCTGCTTACAGCAAGAGAGTGAGGTGACAGAAGAACACAATTAGAAATCAGCCCTTCACATTTTGATGAAGTGCTATTCTGCTTGGATGCTTCTCTGATTTATATATAAAATCATGCAAATGACCACGTAACTCTACAGACAGACAGAGAGACAGACAGACCTTTGAGTAACTCCAGTCCTTGCAAACTATTCCAAGATGACAAGGATTCCAAGCATGAGCAAGATACCCCAGCTTCTGCACAGCATCCACATCCAAAATTACAATTCTATTTTATTCCTTCTGCACACACGTATCCCAACTCTCCAATAGTGGCTGCCACACAGGTATAATACACAGGGATTGCAAAGAAAACCTAAATTTGCATTAGAACTATAAAGGAGGGGGGAAAGTTAGGAAAGCAAAACAAAAATCCTAAAGCCTCCAGGGCCAACCAAAAACCAGGGCTATTGAGAAGCAAGCAAAGAGACCCTATCATGAATTGCAGATCCATTCCAAAGCCCGTTGCCTTTTATTTGATGTACTTTAGCAGGTCACTTACTTTTCAGTTATATTTGAACCCTGAGTAATCATGAAGATCGAAGCAGCTGGCTTTGAGGGACTTCTAGAGCTTTTGGTTTGGTTTGCAAATAAGTTTCTTTCATTGGGGGGTAAAAATCCAAATTATGCAAATCTGCTCCCAGACAGAGAATGAATATTCAATCTTATGGTGATAATGTAAATACTTCTATCCAACACCTTAGGCAGGGCAGATCTACGAAGCAACGCCACCGGGGTGCTTTGGTCCTCGTTGAAGCATCTTGAAGTTAATTAAACCTGCAAATGTCCAGCACCACTACAAACCTGGCCCCCCCTCCAGCTTCTCATTCAGGTTTAATATTTCAACATCAAACCAGGCAGGAGAAGAGATGGGGAGACCCCCCCATACACTTAAAGAACCTTCTTCCAAAGTCAGTAACAATGAACAAAGATGAGAGTGATCGACAAGAGTAAAGGGAAGGGGAGGAAAATATTTTCCATGGAAATAATCAAATCCGGTGGAAACGGGTAAAAATATAGCTGCTAATATTAAACTAGGAAAGACAACATTCTTCTGCTAAGGCGTGCAGCCAATCCCATGCGGAGCGATTTTAGAAGGAAAAATGAAAGAGCTAAATGCAGCCAGCCATCCTTATTTTCAGCCCTGAATGAGCCCAAACAAGGCTCCTAAACTTAATTATGACACTTAAAATAAGCTCCCCCCTCCGCGCTCGCACAGACACAAGCGGGAGGCGCCGCCGCTCGCCCGCATCCCGCAACGCAGAGCAGAGCATCCGCTCAGCAAAGACGGCCCCTGTTGGAGTGATTTTAAACTGCACAGAAGGGAAAGCGGGGAGGGGGGAGTTTACAGAAAGAGCTTTAAAAGTAGATCCCATGTCAAACTGCCGTGCAAGAGCTCACATGCCTGCTTCGCCAGCGTCCCCTCTTCGCCCCCACCGGCGCAGATCGGCTCCTTTCCCCCGCAGCTCCTCCTGCGCGCCTGCTCCCCTCGCCCCTTGGCCGTGCGTTTGGAGAGCAGGCAAACTTCGCCCGGCAGAGAGTCGTCCTTCTGCCTCCCCAGCTGCAGACGCCCCCTCCCCAATCAGCCTTCATGTTCTGCTAAAGTGAAAATGAGGAGTTCTGACAACTCACGTCTCCGCCTAGACACTATTATAGACATAACAATATCCGTTCAACAATAACCCTTCAACAATAGCACCCACTGCACCTAAAGAGGGTCGATTCCAGCCATTCCCCCGTTTTGTTTTTGTTTTGCAAATTTCAGCTCTTCTCTCCTTCCACCCCCCCCGCCCCCGCCGCTCCTCCGACTTCAGGCATCCCCACTTCCCACCAAATAATTAAACATAAAACCGGCATGGTGGTATTCCAGTCCCAGTCCTCGCCCGCTCTAATTCATTAATTTAGAGCTTCTGATAATCCAGAAGGTTTTGTTTTTGTTTTTAGCTTGCTAAGACATCCGATGAAACCCCACTCAAGGTGTTAAACGTGTTCACACACCCGAATGCCCAGAAAACGCCTTCTTTGTAAAACTTTCTCAACCTCCAGGTTTTTCCCTTCTCTCTCCACTTGCTTCTTATCTCTCTCTATTATTAAATATTGGCAACGCTGCAACAGATGGGCGCGTTAAGAGCTGGAATTTTTCCTACTTTAGCATCAAAACATTCCCTCTATTTTTTTTTTCTAAATAACTTTGCAGTTTGCTGCTGAAAACATAGATTGCTTTAAAGAAAAAGGCGAAGGAGGAGGAGGAGGAGGAGTCGTCCACTGTTTTCATTAAAACTAAAAATTCCGGGGAAGAAAGAAAAAGATCGATGCAACTTTGTCCTCCTCCCGGAATGAGACTAGGAAAGCCACTTGAGTCGAAACCCAGATCCCTAGCGCCCCCCCCCCCATATAAAACTCTCCTACCACCCTGCAAAAACCAGATCGTGGTACTTTGAACAGAATCCACTCGCAGGCATCATTCCCCAAACACCCCCTCTCTCCTCCCCCCTGCATGTAAGTTTCCTTTTTAACCTGTTACTTGGGGTCGTGTCTTCAAAATACCGCGGATTTCAGCCTGGCAGGTGCTGGCTTTCTCCTCCGGGAGGGGGGCACGTCATGCAAGCTCCTGTTTCCCACCCCCACGCCCATCCCTTTCCTCCACCCCCTTCCAGTTTTGCTAAAAAGCCCTTAACTGCTCTGAAATACAAGTGCAAAGCGCCCCCCCCCCGTCTCGCGCGCGCGCGCGCGCACACACACACACTCACACTCCGCCGGCGCGAATGCCATAACGTTACCTCCGCAGCATTAAGCGCTTATTCATAATAAGAGGTCGCCCAGACAGAGCACAAAATGGCAGGGTGCACTTTAAAGACAAGAGAGCATTGCAGAAGTTTTGACACATGGGGGCCCAATGGACGCTAAACTTTGGACCGCGGTTCAATTCGGGAGGTGTCCGGGGGGGGGGGGGGGATAGGAAGAAAGCACGGTTTGCTTTCCCTTGATTATGGATATCACGCCTTGCCACGGAGGGAGCTACCGGAGGAGGGAGAGGAGCCCGCGTCACCCTTACGTGGGCGAGAAAAAGTCACTTTGCAAACTTTAGATTGCCCCAATTTCAGGAAGGGGGAAAAATCCCGCCCCCACGCAAAAAAAAAAAGTTTCTGGGCAACTTGAAAGCGTTGGTCACCGCGAGAGTTCTCGGAGTTCTCCTAAATCCTCTATCTGCGTTTATTAAAAGCTGGATAAAGTCTTTCCTTTCTTCTCCCCCACCCCCCCGAAAGTAACGGATTTAAAAAGACCAGGGAAAAGCGCCGGCTCGCTCGCTCGCTCGCTCGCTCGCTCTCTCCTCCAGGCTTAAGTTCTATAGCGCCATACAACGGTTCCTTTGCTCCTTTCATTCTTTTTCCCCTGACAGCCTTTGCTTGCAAACGTCATTGCTATGGATATTTAATTATACTGTATTTTTTAATCACGCAGGCCCCGTTGCGATGATGCAAAAAAAAGGGGGGGCGGAAAAAATATTCCAAACTGACTTTAGCAGCGTTCGGGGGTGCGCGCCCCGGTTTAAAGCACACACGCACGCACACACACACACACACGGACACACACACGAACTCCGATCTCCCCTCTGATCGCGCGCTCCCTCGCTCTTTTTTGTTTTCCTCCAAAAATCTGAAATAAACAAATAAGGAAATGCCACTGGCGTCCCTTTTGTCTTTTCCTTACCTTCCCAATTTGTTTTAAAGCAAAGCGGAGGAGAAACTCCTGCACGTAAACGAAGCGTTGTAAAAGATTGTGTTCAATGAATAATGAAGCATATCCCACATGATTGACTTGATCATTTGCTCGGGCTGAGATGGGGGGAGAAGTGGCCAAGGGGAACTCTGCCGATCGGCCACTCTGGCCGACTCTCCTAAATCTTGGCGAGCCACCCCAAGGGCGGCGGGGGGGGCGTTATTTTCATGTGTCGCTTTTTCTGCAGGAGACCCCCCCTTTTCCTTGATAGCGATCAGGCAACATCGCAAGACATTCCCGGCTCTCAGCTTGGACTCCCCCTATCTGGTAGGTGAAATGCATTGTACCATTAAAAAGGCACTCCATTGTCGTCTTGGCATAATTCACAGCAACTAGATGGGTCTTGCGGCATTTAGCTTTGATGAGCCAAATGCTGAACCCTTGATATAATAATCTACAAAGAATGGGCTCCGATCGTCCATTTTTCCCTTTCTGTCTCAGGAACTAAGAGGTTGGGGGAAAGCATTTAACACAGAGCAGTTTTGGGCATGACCTTGAGCCCGTGTAAACACACTTATTAAAGCCCCTAAGATCCCCCACCCACCCGCCAGCCGCTCTTTTCGGATTCAAGCCTAGATCAACCCTTCTCCCCTCCCTTTGCCTGTCATTTTTCCTAAACAAATCCGAAGATCTTTCCGTATTTAGGGAGGAAAAAAAGCAGAGGTGGGGGGGAGCGAGCGAGCGAGCGAGCGAGGAGGAGGAACGGCGCGGGGGGGGAGTATTTAAGCATCGCTTCTTACCTGCTCTGGAAACTATCCGAAGTCTGTTTCTTTGAAAAACTCCAGGGGAAGCTTGCTGGCCGGTTGGATCGCGCAGCATCAGTCCAAGAAGCTCCAGCGCTTAAGAGAAGTAATCAACGATAAAGTGACGTTGATCTGCACTGTAACCTTGTGGCGTATTTAATGTAAATAAGCAGTTATGTTGCCAATCGCACGCATGCAAACACAGAAAGGTCTTCAGCGTTGCATTTTGATGCTTTCCATTAAGGCTGACTTTATTTACATACACTATTTAGGGGAAGGGGGGAGGAGAAAGAAGATCATGATGGTTCGAAGACAATACTAGTGCCAAATGATTATGAAAATATGATTTTAATTAATCACGTAGTAGGCAAGGAAATTAGCATACGGTAATTAAACTTCCAGGGGAAAAAAAAGGAACGAAAGAAAGAAAAGCGCCATGAAGGGTCTCTGCCTTATAGGTCTGGAATAATCAGGAAATATATAGATAGAGATTTAAAACGTGAGATTTTTCCCCCAGGTCCAATATACTTTCCTATCAAGAACCTAACTTTTAAAAACATACATGCATATATACATATAACTTCAGCGGGGTTTATCTGCTGAGGAAGGTTTAAGAAATAATATGCCAGCAAGCAGAAGAGGGTGGAAAATTGGGGATAGGTTATATTATGTGGTTAATAAGCTAAAAGAAGAGAAGGGCAGGAGGAGGGTTAAAATGGGGGGAGAACACTGAATAATGCAATTATGGATTCTGTGTCCCATAGTTGACAAAAGCATGGTGCCTCAATAGACTCTTTGTGATGGGATTATATAATGATTGTGGGGTAATTATGGGAAAAAAAGAGATTTAGTCATAATAAAAAGTATCAAAATACACCAGCTTCTTGTAAAGGGAAAAGCTAGCTCACGACATTAGGGGCATGTTAATAGGGAAGGGGAAGGGGCGGTGGGGAGGGGGGAATAAAAGCAGGATCCGAAAGAGCTGACAAATAAAGAGAGACTGTGATGTGCATGATTAAGAAGAGATGGAGGCAGATTGATTATTCAAAATGCCGAACCACAGGGACACTTAAAACATTGATTCAGGTAACACTAGTTTCATCTCAACTGAAATGAGTTCCCTGAAGATGACTGGCATACATTTTAAATCAGTTTACACCATAAAAAGGGGGGGAAAAGCAGGGGGGAAAACAGAAGCAACATCACAAGCAGAAATCTTCTGGCATAAATGCAGAATTCTGTGTGGTAGAAGAAAAGTTTAGGTGTTTGTATATTCCCAGGAAGAATCAGCAAGTTGCGGGGCATGGGGGGTCTCCTTAAACATTTGCATTGTTTCTTTCCATGCTGTTTTAGAAGAAGCCCTTTTTGGCTTTAAGGCTTCTTTTCAGTCCTCATAGGAATGGGGAGACTTTTTAAAGTGCATACTTTCAGACTATTTTTTAAGGAACCTTCTCACCATCCAGGGTTTCTAGCTTCTTTTAAGAAGTTTAAGAACTACTTTTCAGAACTGCTCCTAGCCTTGGTGGAAGAGCAGCATTTTCACGCCTTTGCTCCAAAGTCTAGGAATTCACTCCACTTTGCAATTTAATCTGTCTGAAATTCTCTTTGAACAAATTCCAAAATACACTTTTTTGATAGAAATTAGCATGGCAATCCCATCAATAATATCACTATCACTATGGGAATGATAAGTGTAGCAGTGGGGGGAGGTTCTTTATTCCAATTCTTCGTGGATCAACTGATTATATTCTCTGGTCTTTTGAATCTGTTATTGTAAGTCAAGTGATTCTTTATAAGTGACAGCCCTGACAAAGAGATGAGGATGGGAAAGCAGGTCGAAAGGAAGTTGCCATATGGACTTTTAAAAAGGCACTTTTTGAACAAGATAATAGGGAAATGGATGTTGCCTTTAACCCTTCACAATCTCATTCTCAGCCTCATAAAACTACTTTTTTCCTTTAACATAAATTCCCCACCAGCTAGTTCCTTCTGGATCTGCCTGCAGAAGTATTATCAGATGCAAAGAGCTGGAGGCAAACCCATTTGATTGCTCTGAACCTGAAGGAGCCCAGTGAGTGGTCTACACAATCCACCATATTGTGGCACACTTTCTCCCAATTAGCTGCCAGGATGTATCCCAAAAGGCTGCAAACTTTTCAGTTGATTGTTGGGGTTAAAAATCAGCAGGATAACCATTTTTTCCTCCTCTCATGATAAAATAAGTTTTGGATGCATCTCAAGCCATGACATCCCAGTTTTTTTTTAATGGCCAGAAGAACTGTTACAAGAACCCTCAGTCAGTTCCTCTATTTCATTTGAGGAAAACAAAAGCTTCAAAAGAGTCTCTTTTAATGGAGGGAGGGCACTATAACAAACCCTGAGATCTCCTACCCTCAAGAAAGCTTGCAGTATGTGGAACCAGGACCTCTGAAGATCCTTGCCCAAGAATATGCATTTGGAAATCCTTTAGATATCATGGTTAATGAATGTTAATAATCCTTCTTCCATTTGACACAACACACTTTGGACATTATGTCAAAGGTTTACCAATAATATTGGGGGTGAAGGGGGAGTAAGGAAGGGGAGAGGGAGGAAGACAAGCCAGGTTTGATATTGTAATAACAATAAAGGGGTGAGAAATCTAAAAGCCTTAGCTTGCATGTAAAATCAGGGCTAATTTCAAGAGGCTTTTGTAGAGATCTTTTGTATCAGCTCAGTTTGGTTATCTGCCCCTTCTGAGGTGGCCAGCCAGCTAGGTGAATGAGATTGTAGGAGAGAGTGAGAGCAAGCGGACAGTGGCAGAAAGAGAGAAAAGGGATGAACCTGCTGTGTTTTGGCTCTAGTCTAACCTGCCACTGGCATTGTGATTTCTACAGGTGCTCTCAGGGACATGTAGCCCTTGACTTTAAAAAGTTATCCATATCCTACACCTAAATGTTATCCTTAATTCTAACCCTGTTTAGCCAAACACAAACAAGCAAGGTCTACAGAGGTATTTCTCCAACTACATCCACTATACAGAATCCTTCTAATTTGGCCACTTCCACCTTGAAAGAAAGAGGGAGATGCCTTGGAGTACCAACGTATCTCAGAAGAGCTTCAGGTGCTTCATAGGAGGACCTCAGTGCTAAGTGTTTAAGAAGCGGGTGGGTTGCTTGTGGCCAAATTTTGAATTGCAAAGGGGCTTATAACTGGTCAGACAATCAGTGCATAACCACTAGAGTGCACGTGTCTTTAGGTAGCTTCCTGCTCTCCTTTCTTTGTGAGATACATTGGCCTATAAAAAGAAAATTGATCTCTGAACTTCTAGATGTGTCTTGCTCACTTTGCTGTCCTACACAGTAGAAGCCAGCAGAGCAGAGGACAGGATGAGCTCTCAAGGAAGACACCGTAAGTCCTGCACCTTAGCAACTCTGCTCAACGAAAATATGCAGGTTAGGAAAACAAGGTATTGCCAAGACATATGATTTAGGCTGGATTAAATTCATGAAAACACTTAGTCTGCCTAGGGAATCACTAGTTTTAATTGAACCTAGAGCCATTCTCAACTCACCTGAGCAGAATGGAGAGAAGAAGATAATAAATATTCTTATTCTACATCTATAGATATAGATTAATTATAGAATTATGAATATTCTATCATTCATTCTACATCCACCTGTATGCAACCACCTGTGCTTACCCAAGCTGCATATTTGCCATTTCTTTAAAGGCAAAAAATGTTTCCCCACAGGGCTTTTATCATGCAGTCACCTTACCTAATATGGAGTTCTAGAAGGGATCCAGAGGATGACCCCTTTTGTCCAGGTGTAACTGCCCGGCTTCCCTCTATTTCCATCCTTTTTCCCAATGCAAAAAAATCTGAGGGAAAAGGATGGAATAGGTGCGTAATTCCTTTTGACTTGCAGCACTAGAAGTTCTCTCTGGTGCTGAGGAACTTAGGCTCCTAAAAGACGGTCACCTAAGGCATGGAGAATCATGTCTGATCCAAGGCTGCCATAGCAGAGGAAGGAGCAGGAGATTAAAAAACTCATAGCCTTCAACATTCGCAGGAATACATGAGAATTAAGGAAGAATTAAGAAACTCGGGTTAAAACTCTGGGTTGTTTTACCCTCAACAGCCTGGAGTGCATGATTCACAACTAAAAATTGGAAAGTGGAAATGGTGCGTGGGTAGGAGCTGATTTGCTCTGGTGTGGCACTACCAATTCACGGGCGGTTCAGCCCATACATCTGCATTCCTTGTATTACTTGAAAGGTTGCATGTTCCTGTTTGTAACCCAGGCATTGCTTACCTGTTTATAATGGAGTAAGAGTGCTTAGATGACCAAGTTCTTATAATGCAATAAATGCTCTCTAGTTAGCCAGAGATTAATTGCCATGCTGTGACACAAGGAACACAATATGTAGGATGTAAGCATTGCACACAGACTCCCTGCAGCAAAACCATGACTTTTAGAACCAAGATAAAAGTAGATCATAATAGACATAATGGTCAAATTGAATAGGTTTCATGGTTAAATAAGTTTTTGCAAAGATTTAAAAAAATCAAGAAAAAATTGTGTTTACATAAGTCTTGCTGTGAATTCAGGTCCAATCTAGCATTGAAAGCTACAAGACTTACTTCTAATTGAATATCTTCCCAGTTCTCCAGTGTTCAATCTTCATGTCAATTTTTTTTCCATTTAAAAACGGTTATACTATTATTTTTCTCTCTCTCCTCCCACCCCTCTTAACAAAGACAGTGACAGTATTAATTTGGTTTAAGAACCTGGTAATCTCAGCCTTAAATAAATCCAGCCTTTTACTTCTGATTAACTAAGGGAGATACACAGACATCACCTTCTGATCCTGGAACCATGTTTTTTTTAAGGTATTTAAACTGTAAAGAAAGTGAAACTTTAGCTTAACATATGGATGATGTAGCCTGTGATCCTCAACCTGCATTTAAATTATGATTTATCACACGGAGAAGGCATAACTGCAGCTTGCAAGATCTATTCTCCTTCTACAAGAACCCCAGGACCCCTCAGCCAGGGGCAGGTGCAATAAATGGACACTTCAGATCAAATTATTCAAGGCCTGGGAATTCAGTCAGA